AAAACCCCATAATTAAAGGGAAAATTTTCCAGCGTGCTGAAGGCAGGAGAGGATCGTTGTGTTTGCCTCCCACATCCCAGATGGATGCAGACAACACCAGGGAGCGCGTGGAGAGAGGAGAGGAAGGGTGCGAGCGAGACCGGGACGTGTGCGAGCAGAAATTGAATTTTTATCAGCTCCTATGTAGATTGTGTTTATTCATCTGTCTCCTCTCCATCTCCCCCTGCATCTCCCTATTTCTTTGACAAAATGACTTTCCTCCTTTGGCCTAATTTTGTTTGTACAGATAGCAGCTGCTTCCTCCCGTTCCGGCAGGAGAAATCTCCCGGTGAATGAGGTGGAGAGGCCCCCAGAGCTCCAAAATCCCCTGTGCTGCTTCCCCGGGCTCCTGCCACCTCTGCCAGGGAAACCTCGGCGTGCCAGAGGATGGGGAGGTGTCCCCAAGTTGTCCCCAAATGCCACCACCCTGCTGAGCAGGGGGTGCTGCATCCATAGGGAAATTCTGCTAATCCATCTGGAGCGTCCTGCCACGGGAGATGGATGAGCAGGAATAAAAATAAAGAAATAAAGGTCTTTTTGGGGTTTTTTTTCTCCCAAAAAACCCATTCTGGGCAGGACCTGTCGCTCTGGGAATCTTCAGGAGCGATGTTCACATGAGGCTCGGGATGCTCCCAAAAACCCGGAGCCCCGCAGGGAGGTGAGACCCCAAATCCCAGAGGTGATCCCAGGAGGAGCAGGGACCACCGAATATGGGGGTGCAACCCCTGGGTTAACCCCAAATATGGGGGTTTAACCCCAAATAGGGAGGTTTAACCCCAAATATGGGGGGGTTAACCCTAAAGAGAGGTGTTTAATCCCAAACATGGGCGTTTAACCTGAAATATGGGAGTTTAACACCAAATATGGGGGTTTAACCTGAAATAGGGGGGTTTAACCCCAAATAGGGATGTTTAACCCCAAATGGGGGGTTTAACACCAAATATGGGGGTTTAACCTGAAATAGGGGGGGTTAATCACAAATAGGGGCGTTTAACCTGAAATATGGGGGGGTTAACCCCAAATATGGGAGTTTAACACCAAATATGGGAGTTTAACCTGAAATAGGGGGGTTTAACCCCAAATAGGGGTGTTCAACCACAAATAGGGGGCTTTAACCCCAAATAGAGGTGTTTAACCCCAAATAGGGGTGTTTAATCCCAAATAGGGGTGTTTAACCCCAAATAGGGGTGTTTAATCCCAAATATGGGGGGTTTAACCCCAAATAGGGGTGTTTAACCCCAAATATGAGGGGGTTTACCCTAAATATGGGGGGTTAACCCCTTGATTAACCCCACACCGAGCCGAGCACGTCCCTCCCATGCCCAAACCTGCCCAAAATCAGCCGGAAAAGGCTGCAGGGCTTTGCCAAGGGGGAGTTTCCCAGGGAAAAGGGGGAACAGGAGCCTCTGGAGCGCCGCCTGCTCCACCCCGATCCCTTTGTGCTCCCTGGCAGGAGGGAAACTCAAAGCGGGATGGATTTTTCCCCCGGGGAAAATCCATGAAAAATGGATGGAATCGCTCGCGCAAAGTCCCATTTGCACGCGGGGCTTTTTGCGAGGACATCAAAGCAGCTCCCTTTGTCGCCTGTCACTCCCTTCCCCGCGGCTTCTGTTCATTTTGGGGATTTTGGGGTGGTTTTTTTGTTTGTTTGGGGGGTTTTTTGGTTTTTTTTTGTTTTTTGCCTGAGTTCTCACACGGCCCCCAAACCCCCGCCCTGTAGTGGGGGAAATTCTTTTTTTTGAGAAATAAAGATCAACATCTCCTATTTCTGAGCGGGGCAAAGCCCGGCTGGGTGAGGCCAGGAGAGGATTTGGGAGCCCAGCTCAGGGCAGGGCGGTGCCAGCAGCTCCTGTGGCTCCGCCGTGCCCTCGGTGCCCTCTGGGGTGTCACCAGTGCCCTCGGTGCCCTCTGGGGTGTCACCAGTTGCCAGCAGCACCCACAGATCCTTGGTGCCCTCCGAGGTGTCACCAGTGCCCTCGGTGCCCTCGGGGGTGCCAGCAGCACCCACAGCTCCTCGGTGTCCTCTGGGGTGTCACCAGTGCCTCTGTGCCCTCCGGGGTGTCACCAGTGCCCTCGGTGTCCTCCGGGGTGTCACCAGTGCCCTCGGTGCCCTCTGGGATGTCACCAGTGCCCTCGGTGCCCTCCGGGGTGCCACCAGTGCCCTCGGTGCCCTCTGGGGTGTCACCAGCACCCACAGCTCCTCGGTGCCCTCTGGGGTGTCACCAGTGCCCTCGGTGCCCTCCAGGATGTCACCAGTGCCCTCGGTGCCCTCTGGGGTGTCACCAGCTGCCAGCAGCACCCACAGCTCCTCGGTGCCCTCTGGGGTGTCACCAGTGCTCTCCGTGTCCTCCAGGGTGTCACCAGGGCCCTCGGTGCCCTCCAGGGTGTCACCAGTGCCCTCTGGGGTGTCACCAGCACCCACAGCTCCTCGGTGTCCTCCGGGGTGTCACCAGTGCTCTCGGTGCCCTCTGGGGTGTCACCAGCTGCCACCAGCACCCACAGCTCAGCCGTGCCCTCGGTGCCCTCTGGGGTGTCACAGTGCCCTCGGTGCCCTCCGGGGTGCCACCAGCTGCCAGCAGCTCTCGGTTCCCGGCGGGAGCTCGCTCCGCTCCCGCGGGCACGACACGTTCCGCAACACCGCCCGGTAATTGCGGCTCCCAAAAAGCAATTCCTGCGCCGGCAGCCCCGCGGCGGCGGAGGCGACGCGTTATTTGTTCACCCGGTGATGAGCTGGCAGCCCTGGAATGCTGCTGGCACCGGGCACAGGGCGCTTAACCCCCCCACCGAGCCGTGACGGTGACACTTGGCACAGCCAGGGGCCGGGACATCAAATTCGTGCCTCAGTTTCCCTCTCCTTGCGGTGATCCCAGCTCTGAGACGTGATGGAGGTGACGCGTTAAGTCACCCAAGCGTGGCTGGCAGAGCTGGCAGCTCACCCGGGCAGAAAACCGAGTGGCACTGGGGGCACTCAGCCTTCCCCTGCATCCCTTCCCCTTCCCCCATCCCAATTCCCCGATTCCGGGTGGCACTGGGGACACTGGGGGCATTTTCCTGCATCCAATTCCCCCATTCTGAGTGGCACTGGTGGCACTGGTGGCACTTCTCTGTATCCCATCCCCTTCCCTCCATCCCAGTTCCCCCATTCCTGGTGGCACTGGGGGCACTGGTGGCACTGGGGGCACTTCCTTGCATTCCATCCTGTTGTCTCCATCCCAATTTCCCCACTCTGGGTCGCACTGGTGGCACTGGGGGCACTGGTGGCACTGGTGGCATTGGGGGCACTTCTCTGTGTCCTATCCCCTTCCCTCCATCCCAATTCCCCCATTCCTGGTGGTGCTGGTGGCACTGGTGACACTTCCCTGCACCAAATTCCCTCATTCTGAATGATACTGGGGGCACTGGTGACACTGGTGACACCTCCCTGCATCCTCTCCCCTTCCCTCCACCCCAATTCCCCCATTCTGGGTGGCACTGGTGGCACTGGTGGCACTTCCTTCACCCCAACCTCTCCCCCTCACCCCAATTCCCCATTCCCAGGGGCGCCACCTCCTCCCAAGGGGACAACCCAGGACCCCGGGGTGGCACGGCGGGGTCAGGGTGGCACCGCGGGCCTCAGGAGGCGACCCGGAGCAGCGCACGCCGCAATTAGTAAATTAATTATCGAGCGGTAACGTAGATTTCATAGCTCGGAGCTGTCACATCAACCGAGATGACGCCTGGTGGAATTAATGCTGCGGTGCTGGGGAAAAAAAAATAGGGAAAAAAAAATAGGAGAGACTTGCAGGGAGAGGGGAGGATAAAAATATAAAGGGAAGAGATAGGGAAGAACAAGATAAGTGGGTTTTGTTGCTAATGGGAGCTGGCACGGGGACAGAATGGCAACAATTAGAAGACAACAACCTACACCATGAGTGGCTCTGAGTGATCCTCTTAATTAACCGCGAGCGCAAAAGGAGCCCCTGCCCACCCCCAAATTCAGCAGCGCTGCTGGAAGAGCAGCCAGAGCTCCGTGAGGACGCCCACGGATCCAGGCCCATGGATCCAGGCCCACGGATCCGGGCCCACGGATACAGGCCTGCAGATCCAGGCCCACAGATCCAGGCCCACGGATACAGGCCCATGGATTCAGGCCCACGGATCCAGGCCACAAATCCAGGCCCACGGATCTGGGCCTATAGATCCAGGCCCATAGATCCAGGCCCATGGATCCACGCCCACGGATCCAGGCCCACGGATCCAGGCCCACAGATCCAGGCCCACGGATCCAGGCCCACAGATCCGGGCCCACGGATACAGGCCACAAATCCAGGCCCATGGATCTGGGCCCATAGATCCAGGCCCACGGATCCAGGCCCACGGATCCACGCCCACGGATCCCGGCCCACGGATCCAGGCCCACGGATCCAGGCCCACAGCCAGGCCCACAGATCCAGGCCACAGATCCAGGCCCACGGATCCAGGCCCAGGGATCCAGGCCCACAGATCCAGGCCCACGGATCCAGGCCCACAGATACAGGCCCACAGATACAGGCCCAAGGATCCAGGCCCAAGGATCCAGGCCCACAGATCCAGGCCCACGGATCCAGGCCACAGATCCAGGCCACAGATCCAGGCCCACAGATACAGGCCCAAGGATCCAGGCCCACGGATCCAGGCCCGCGAATCCGGGCCCACAGATCCAGGCCCAAGGATCCAGGCCACAGATCCAGGCCCACAGATCCAAGCCCACGGATCCGGGCCCACAGATCCAGGCCCACAGATCCAGGCCACAGATCCAGGCCCACAGATCCAGGCCCACAGATCCAGGCCCACGGATCCGGGCCCACAGATCCAGGCCCACAGATCCGGGCTCATGTATCCAGGCCCACGGATTCAGGCCCACAGATCCAGGCCCACAGATCCAGGCCACAGATCCGGGCCCACGGATCCAGGCCACAGATCGAGGCCACAGATCCGGGCCCATGAATCCAGGCCCACGGATCCGGGCCCGCGGATCCAGGCCCACGGATCCAGGCCCGTGGATCCAGGCCCACGGATCCAGGCCCATGGATCCAGGCCCACAGATCCAGGCCCACAGATCCAGGCCCATGGATCCAGGCCCACAGATCCCGGCCCACAGATCCAGGCCCATGGATCCAGGCCCACAGATCCGGGCTCACGGATCCAGGCCCAAGGATCCAGGCCCACAGATCCGGGCTCACGGATCCAGGCCACGGATCCAGGCCACAGATCCAGGCCCACAGATCCAGGCCCACAGATCCAGGCCCACTGATCCGGGCCCACGGATCCGGGCCCACAGATCCAGGCCCACGGATCCAGGCCCAAGGATCCAGGCCCAAGGATCCGGGCCCACAGATCCAGGCCCAAAGATCCAGGCCCATGGATCCAGGCCCAAGGATCCAGGCCCAAGGATCCGGGCCCACAGATCCAGGCCCATGGATCCAGGCCCACAGATACAGGCCCACGGATCCAGGCCACAGATCCAGGCCCACGGATCCAGGCCCATGGATCCAGGCCCACGGATCCGGGCCCATGGATCCGGGCCCACAGATCCCGGCCCACAGATCCCGGCCCACGGATCCAGGCCCACAGATCTGGGCCCATGGATCCAGGCCCACAAATACAGGCCACAGATCCAGGCCCATGGATCCGGGCCCACGGATCTGGGCCCACAGATCCAGGCCACAGATCCGGGCCCACGGATCCAGGCCCAAGGATCCAGGCCTGCAGATCCAGGCCCACAGATCCAGGCCCAAGGTTCCGGGCGCAAGGATCCAGGCCCAGGGATCCAGGCCCACAGATCCAGGCCCACAGATCCAGGCCCACGGATCCAGGCCCACAGATCATGGCCCAAGGTTCCGGGCCCAAGGATCCAGGCCCACGGATCCGGGCCCACAGATCCAGGCCCACGGATCCAGGCCGTGCCCAGCGGTGCCGCAATAAGAGCCGGAGATGCTCAGAGAGCGAGCGGGGGGGAGCTCGGGGCCTGTTGGGCACCAGTCTGCAGGGAACGCTGGGCTCCAGGATGGTTTGGGTGGATGGAGACGAGAGATCTCTGAAAGCTGCTCTTAGAATATCTGGGTTTTTATGGATGCTGGAAGGTCCTGCTTGGAGCTGCCAGACACAGCACGTGGCAAGGCCTGAGGGGATGGGGGAGGGGAGAGACAAGTGGTAGAGGGAGACGAGAGGATTCTCCAGAGTGGGAATCCAGGGTTTCCCTCTGGCTGCCCTGGCAGGTCTGGGACCCTGGCAGGGGGTCAGGAACCCCCCTGGACAGAGCCCCCAGAGACACTGTCTGTGATCTCTGTCCATGGAAAAGAGTTTTCAATCTTACAGGATGAATTACAAGCTCTGAGTGTTTGATATAAGTAATAATTAAGTGTGGCACGGATGCAAAAGTAAAATTTTAGGATTCTAGATTAGGGGTCCAAAGGGGACAAGATGGAGGAAATTGGGTGTGTCTTGTCCTTTTTCTCCTTCTTCATGCCCTCCATGTTTCACTGTGGTGTTGGCATTTTTCTGTTGGTTCAGGCTGGGGACACACTGTCCAACGTAGGTGACAGATATTGGCACGTTATTGTAAATCCAGCACAGGTAGTTTGTGGTATTTAATGTTTGTACCATCCCACTGAGGGCAGAGCCCCACACGCTGCCCTGCAGGACAGAGCTGCGGCAGGGCAGCAGAACATGTTAGAGATAAACAGAATAAACAACCTTGAAACAGCACAGACCAATTATGGCTTCTGCTTTGGCAGCGGGGCTGACAGACAGAGACTTTCTACAATCTCAGAATCACCAATACCTCAGATTCCGACACTCCAGGAGAGGGTGGAAGTTCCAAGAGGGGGGAAGTTCCAAGAGGGCATCTGGCTACTCTGGGTCTCCTTGTCAGGGGCTTCAAGGTGGGCTGGAACAAGACTCAGGCCAATGGGGTCACAGACTCCTGATGTTTCAGGGGAGGGTTACAGGTGTGGGATGAACCATACATTGGGGTGAGATCCAACAGTCCATCTGACCCTTGGACCTACCTGTAGGTAAGGGCATTGTCCAACCAGTGGAGGGGATTGTTTTCATCCTGCCTGTTCTATTGTAAATCTTTTGCCAGGCAATCATATTTACTCATCCTCCCCAACATCTCCGCAGGAGCCGAGGGCACCGAGCCCGTGGGGACACCAAAAAGAGCACACAGAGCTCCCTGTCCCCTCCTGCCACCTCCCAGAGGGACACAACGCTGCTAAAGGGACACGATTTGCTTTCCCCACCCTCCCCGGTTCCCCTTCATCTTCCAGGGGCGGATTTTAAGCTGCGTATCCAGTGCGATGTAAAAATAACACCTCGCCCTCCCACTTGGGAAATCGATTCCTTCGCTTCCCACCCGGCTCCGGCTTTAAATATCCCAATTTACATGCGGATTGTGCTGCACCGACCGGGGGTGGCTGCGGGGCCGTGCTGGCACCTCGTCCTGATGTCCCACCCTGTCCCGAGGCAGCCACAGAGCTCCCGCAGGTCCCCGATGCTCCTTCCCGAGCTGGGAGGTGACACGGAATGGTGGCACTGCCAGCGAGTGCCACCCTGCCCGTGAAAGGAGCCGCGTTTGGGTCCTGCCCGCCAAGGGGTTTGGGTGTCATCCCAAATCCAACCCCAAAAATTCCTGCTGCCCCACCCTGTCCCGAATCAGCCACAGAGCTCCCACAGGTTCCCAAGCTGGGAGGTGACACAGAGAGGTGGCACTGCCAGCGAGTGCCACCCTGCCCGTGAAAGGAGCCGCGTTTGGGTCTGATCCCAACTCCAATCCCCCAAATTCCTGCTGCCCCACCCCGTTCCGAATCAGCCACACAGCACCCGCAGGTCCCCGATGCTCCTTCCCAAGCTGGGAGGTGACACAGAGCGGTGGCACTGCCAGCAAGTGCCACCCTACCCTCGAAGGAAGCTGCGTTTGGGTCTCATCCCAAATCCAAGTCCCCAAATTCCTGCTGCTCCAGCCCATCCCGAGGCAGCCACAGAGCTCCTGCAGGTCCCCGAGCTGGGAGGTGACACAGAGCGGTGGCACTGCCAGTGAGTGCCACCCTGCCCGCCAAGGGAGCCGCGTTTGGGTCTGATCCCAAACCCAACCCCCCAAATCCCATCCCTGCGGTGCCTCCTCAGCACGAGGAGCAGCAGATGCCAGGGATGATGAGGAGGACGTGGGCAGCCGTGGCTGTGCCCTACTTTTCCAGGGCAAAATCTGGAGAGGGGAAAGCGGAGCGGTGGTGGGAGCGAAGGCAGCATCTGCGCCGGCTGGCAGAGCTCACACCCACAGCCCCGAGCCCTGCCAGCCTCCCCAGCGCGACCCACGGCGACAAAGCAGGCCGGGGGAAGGGGGGCAGGAGTGTCAGCAGGAATTTGGGGCTCTCCCGGCTCTCAGGGATGGGAAACACCCGTGGGGCCAGGGATGGGGGAGAGCAGCGGGGTTGGGATCGGCGCTGTTGTAGTTTCTGAAGGGATGGATGGGTTTGAAGGAGCCGCCGCAGGGCTCCCGGAGGGATCTTTGCCAGTTCCTCAAAGTGTTTAATTCCTTCTCCTTAATTCCTTCCCCTCGGCAGCCGCGGGAGCAGCCCAGATTCATGGCAGCGCTCCCGAGTTATCCTCCCTCGCCGCGCCAGGAGGGATCGAGGGAGCCGCGGAGCTTCTGCCTCCACCAGAACCCAACCCCTGCCCCGGCACAGAGCCTGATCCCCCCCAAATCCCCAAATTCCGCCCCCGGGGGAGATGCCGAATTCATCCTCCCCTCGGCCCACACAGTGTGAGCAAAGCCGGTCCAAATTTGGGTAGAAACCCCAGGATTTAGAGGAGCTGCTGGGAAAAGGGTCACGGGTGCCAAGGGGAGTTCACAAATCCATGCCACCCCCCGGCAAAGCTCCGTGTGCCAGCATTCCCTGCTCCCAAACGCCTCCCCGGGCTGAGGTTGGCAGGAAAATCATCATTGCTGCTGAAAAGCAGGAGGCAACAGGGCGAGCACAAACAGCATTTACATATCCTTAATTCTATTTTAGCGCCTCTCGGGCTATTTTTGTCGCGGCAGAAACACAACAGGAGCGCAAGGCCAGAGAAAGGGCAAGGAAAACGGCTCGGAATGTGGGACAGACGGAGAGAAAATAAATCCCGGGCGTGGGAATGGCTGAGAGCTGCCCTGCTTTGTCACAGCCCCTGGCGGTTTGTTCCTCAGCTGGGCAGGACACAGGGACGCAAATGCCACCAAACACAGCGGCGTGGCACTGAGGAGGGGACAGCACATCCCGGTTTTTCCTCGCTGCCAGGCTGGAAAAAGCAGCGGGGATGATCCAGGAGCAGGGGGACATTCCCGGAGCCGGAGGGGACAGGCCAGGCCCGGCTCCGCAGCATCCTCGCCCGTTGCCAGGACAACGGGATGTGATGGAGCCACCTCTCCTCCAGCAGGGCCGGCTCTGGGATTTTGGGATGTTGGGATCTGGGGGCCGCTGCAGGCGGCGGGTTTGGGGTGCTGGGGGAGCCCCCCCAAATCTCAGAGGAGGAGGAGGTGGGCAGCTGTGGAGAAGGAGCAGAGAAGGAGCATGGAAGGAGCAGGGATGGAGCAGGGATGGAGCAGGGAAGGAACAGGGATGGAACAGGAATGGAGCAGGGATGGAGCAGGGATGGAGCAGGGATGGAGCAGGGATGGAGCAGGGAAGGAGCAGGGATGGAGCAGGGATGGAGCAGGGAAGGAGCAGGGATGGAGCAGGGATGGAGCAGGGATGGGATGGAGCAGGGATGGAGCAGGGATGGAGCAGGGATGGGATGGAGCAGGGAGAACCCCCATAGGAGAACCCCCCAGGTGCCACCTGCACCCAGCGGGCACGGACAGGGACACGGCCACGGGGCACAGCAGGGGAAGAGCGGGATGGAACCCGCCGAGACAACCTCAGATCCCGCAGGATCAGCCAAGGCAGAGCCCCGGGGCCCCGTTGCCACATCGCAGCGCCGCTGCCCCTCCACCCACAGCGGGCAGGGCTCAGGGTCCCCGGGCAGAGAGGCTGGCAGCGCCCCGAGGCTCCCGAGCAGCCACAAAGGTGCAGCTTCGTTTCTTTGCTGTTGGTGCCATGGCAACCTTTCCCACTCGGCTTAATTACAGAGCCGGCTGTGCCTCCGCGGGGGGGCCGGGGGGCTGCTCAAACCCTGCTCATCCCTGCTCCATCCCTTCTCCATCCCTGCTCCATCCCTGCTCCTTCCCTGCTCCTTCCCTGCTCCATCCCATCCCTGCTCCCTCCCTGCTCCATCCCTGCTCCATCCCTGCTCCATCCCTGCTCCCTCCCAGCTCCCCAGAGCCAGGGATGAAGTACAGGAGGGGGAATCCACAAGCTCCCATGGGAGGAGAATCCTGGCCCAGCCCCAAAGGAGAACCCCCAGGGACAACCCTGGAATGGCGCCATGCTGGGATCCCCAGGGATCAGCTGGGCTGGTTCCATGATGGGAAGGACCTTCTCCACCTCATGTCCTGGCTCTTTCCAGCCCTTTTCCTCCTCCTCGTGCCCTAGCTGCTCCTCAAACTCCACCCTTGGTGCTGGGGTTTCCCATCCATCCATCCATCCATCCATCCATCCATAGATCCATCATCCATCCATCCATCCATGGATCCATCCATCCATCCATGGATCCATCCATCCATCCATGGATCCATCCATCATCCATCCATCCATCCATCAATCATCCATCCATCATCCATCCATCATCCATCATCCATCATCCATCATCCATCCATCATCCATCCATCCATCCATCATCCATCCATCATCCATCATCCATCATCCATCCATCATCCATGGATCCATCCATCATCCATCATCCATCTATCATCCATCCATCCATCCATCCATCCATCCATCCATCATCCATCCATCCATCATCCATCCATCATCCATCCATCCATCATCCATCCA